TTACTATATGTCTTACATATGACTCCAAACATAGACTATATATAGACAACATGTGTTATTTTAAGAAAAGCTAATTCCCTTGGCTTAGATACGCCAAAAATATGACAACTCGCACTAGATGGCTCTGAAACACGAGATATTGCAGTTCCTATTCACATACAGCGTGTCCTATAAGTCTAGTTTTTGTTTTACCTAAAGCAAACCCAAAACAACCTATCTGCTTTGTAAATATTAAGCCAAGCAAATCATTATTTGCTTTAAAACTCCCAAAACTCCAATTTTTACCATATTTAGCCGGAGATATTTTTACAGTGATAGCTAATAAAGTAGTATTTTTTCTGATCTCAATCTCACAGTACACTATGGCTAAAATAAAATATCATTGTATTTTCCATAGGCTATCCATAGGTCACACATTTATACAATTTCGTAACTATTTAGATGCTTTATATGAATTAATTGTCACATATATTTAAAGTTTATAAAACTTTACTATAAAGTTAAATTCAAAATTTGAAATATTTCCCGAAGCCCTGCGTTTATGTACAGTACTTATGGTTAAGATTATAAACTAGTTATTAATAATAAGTTATTATTAAGTATTTGTGTATAGTTCTGTCACATTTATCATGGGTTAAACATAATCTTATCAAAAAGTCTACACGTGTGCGCATACCTGCTCTTAAACTGACCATTAATTTAGCAGTGATTGTGGTTTAATATAGACAGACAGTCATTACTTTATCCCATAACTAACTATTATAATAATTAAACATTTTATAAATTACAATTAATTAATAAATTGCTATTAAATATGCACAGTCATTATATATTTTACCGTGATCAGCGGTATAATATTGGTGATAATCCAATTCAAGTGGTTATACCATCAAATGTGGTGACAATCAAAGATCTCAAGAGTTTTATGCAAAACAACGGACTCTTTGATGAAAACAATGATATTATTATCATATCTGAAGGAATTAATTGCTATAAACTATACCCCGATGAATATAAACTGTCCATGTTATGTGACCGGTTTAAAATATATGTTCACAGTAAAAGTAAGCCGATGGCCGCCGGTCTAGGATCAGGGTATGTATTGTCTGTCCATTGGATTAATACAGTATTGTTTGTTAAACTAATGTCTGAATAAAAAGTTGACCAAAAATTGTTTATATTCTAAATAATTGTATTTTTAATTGTTTTGTATTTTCTATGAAAACAGCGGTTCAGTGAGTGATTGGCCGCTGAGTTCTTCGCCGATCAGAGGGAATCAATTGATGGCAAATCGAGACAAAACCACACCTTATATTGATATTTACGAAATGCTTAATAAAATTCATAATGAAATGCGAGATCAAAATGAAATGACAAACACTTTATTGTGTAATATATATGACGAGAAGGAGAGAGCGTTGACAGCACTCCAAGACATTAGACAATTGGCCGAAGACTCGGATGACAGCGAATCCAGTGATGAAAGTGTTGGCAATAGTTTGAGACAATCAGTGATACAGACATGTCTTGTAAAGCCATTGTTGGCTGAGTTGAACGGATCCACGGCTTCAATGCGGACAATGATTGCGGGAAACAATGATTTGAGACAAAGATTTATTAAAAGGTATTAATTAGTGAATAATTATAGTTTTTTTATTTAGTTTTAATATAATTTGTGTTTTAATTAATGTGTTTTTTTACAGTAATGAAAGAGTGGCCATAGATTTGAAGCAAAATGTGAGCGATTTGTTGCCACAAAACAGTGGATTAAGTGAATTGAAGGCATCGTTTCGTTTAGTAAATAACAAACTTTTTATTTTATGGATTATTTTATCCCAAGTATTGATTTTAATGTTTATTTATTATTCAATTTGAAGTTTTAAATTTGATTAATAGGATTTTTACTGATATTTTGATTGTTTTAAAATGTGTTTAAAAATGTGGTTTCATATTAATGAGGTTTATGAGTACATATGGTGATAATTATTAGTATCCTATTTTTTAAATTTTTTTAATCGTGAGTTATTAGATGATTATTGAGAGTAGATTTGTGCGCAAAATTTTATTACAATCATTGAAATGACAAATAAATGATTTTTCTCCCGAATGTATGCGTTTGTGTTGAATTAAATATGATTTTGAAATTTATGAGTACATGTAGTGATTAGTAGTAGTGTTATTTTATTAATTTTAATTCTCAGTAATTAGCTGATTATTTGTGTGAAAAACTTTTGTCACAATAATTAAAATGACAAACTAATGGGTTTACTCCCGTATCTATACATTTGTGGACATTTAAATTGTGTTTTGATTTAAATTTATTGCCACAATTTTCTTCATTGCATTTAAATTTCATTCAAATGAACACAATTTTTGTTGCATTTATTGAAATCACAAATAAATCTCACATTTAAATGAACGCTATTTTTGTGATAAAGTAAATGTGATTTCTGTTTATAACTTTTATTACAATTTTCTTCATTACATTTGAATTTCCTTTCATTCAAATG